AATATGTAAATCAGAGCAAATCACCATGCCCTTCCCCCAGCTTACAGCCACCAAACCATGGGCTCCTAGCTGCCTGGCCTGTGTGACCCGGCCTAATATGCCCAGTCACTCCCTGTTATTGTTCCCCTTGCTCCACTCCAGCCACAACATCACATTGGCTGTCTCTCAGGCACAGCAGGTTCACTTCTGCCTGGAGGCTCCTGCGTGCCCTGTTTCATCTGGAACACTTCCCCAGCTATCATCTGGCTTCCTCAGTGCAGCCAGGCCTCTGCTCGGATGAATAGTACATTAGTTATTTATTGCCTTGGAACTGATTACCCCAAAACATGAGAGTTCAAACACAACAATCGCCATTTATTCTCTTTCACTTGGTGGGTCAAGAATTTGGGCTTTGCAGGGTGGTTCTGACTCAGGGTTTCTTATGCCACTGCAGTCAGATGTCAGCCAGGGTTGAGGTCTCATCTGAAGTCTCTACTGGGGCTTAGGATCCACTTCCAAGATGATTCCCTCTCTCACAGTGAGTCACTGCTGGTTGTTGGCTGGGGGCCTAGTTCCTCTCCACACAGGGCTCTCTGCAAGGCAGGTTGAGCATCCTTATGATATGGTGGCTGATTAGCCCCAGAACAAGCTATCTGAAGATGCAAGGCTGAAACCATGATGCCTCTGTGACCCAGCCTCAGAAGTCACACCATCACCCCTGCCACACTTCACTGGCCACACAGACCAGCCTGATTGACTGTGGGAGGAGTCTACACAAGGGCATGACCTGGAATGTGAGGACTGCTGGGGCCACCTTGGAGGCTGGCAACCTCACAGGCATCCTCTGCCTCTTTCTTGGCCTGACCCACCTCCCTAGCTCTTACTAGATCAACATGCAGATGTGTGTTTGTGTCCTCTGGTAACAGGGAAGCTCCATCAGGGGGATGGAACTTCCTGTCTTCCCTGTGATCCAGCTCTGGGTTGGGCATATGTTTAGGAGATATTGTTGAATGAATTAATCAGTGGCTGAATGGATAAATGATGGCCTCTGGCCATGTGAGAATGTGGGAGGAGAATGTCCTTGCTCCTCAGTGTTCAGGCCCTTCATCACCCACCATCACCTCTTGGCCTGGTTACAGTTGGCTTCAACCATGAAGGTCTCCCACAGCCCATGGGGGCCTCGTGCCTCCTGCCCAGGCCTAGAAACACCGTCTTCAGCGTCAGCCTCTCAGGGAGGCCACCCTGTCATCTTTATAGCATCTGTCCTTGCCCTCCTATCCTTAACCCTAATTGTCAACAGAGCTATCTGTGTGCATTCATTAAGTGCCTCCTGCATGGCAGCCTTTGTGGAGTGAACACTACAGCACAGATAATGGTCAGTGGGGAAACCATCATAGGGCAAGGCTAGCGCTCTGAAGAACTGAGACTGGGGGTGGGGTGTGGTGGCGAGTGATGTGGTCCAGAAGGCCCAGACTCCAAGCGGGGGCGAGGATGCTAGGCAGGGAGCTGGGAAGAACATTCTGGGTGGTCACAGCACACATGAAGATTTGTAAATGGCAGAGGTGGCTGCTGGAGGAACAGGAAGGCTATGAGCCCAGGGTGGGAGAAGAGGACGGTCAGACTCAGTGTTATGGCCTGTGGCCGCCATGTGAGTACTGGGCTGTGGAGACAAGGATGGGGCACGTCTCACATCTCACAAGAAACGTGAGAAGGCAGCTGCCACCTTCCAAGCAAGAGATAACAGGGATGGTGGTCACCGAGGTGGGAGCAGGGCTGGGCTTGGAAGGCAGAGCCCACAGGTGCGGGGTGCAGGTGAGCAGAGGCCTGAGTGAGGAAAGGCTGGCCATAGGAAAACCAGGGGGAAGTGCCCCCACCCAACCCAATGCAAAGAACCCCTGTGGAAATTAGCTTTGCCTGCATAATTTTAAAATTCTGCCTGCTTTCTAACGAGATCAAGCATGTGAATGGCAAGAAAATCTGAAAGAAGCAAATAGTAAGGTGGAGGCCATTCAGAGGAGCGGGTGTGTGTGTGTGTCAGCGCCCTGGCTTCTGTGACATTCACAAAGATTCTCTGCTTGACCAAACTTTAGTCAGGCTCCTGAACTTTCTCCTTGGCCCATCTGTGAACTTCCTTGTAAAATCCAGTTTCAACAAAGAATCCTCCTAGTGAGTTTAGCAAGAACTCCCCACCCTGGATACCTGATCACCCTTGATACCCCATCACGGTCCTCACCCGCACCGTCCTCTGGGTGAGATCTTATCAGCCCAGGTTGTCTTTGCAAGAATTCTGTCAGCCGGAATCCCCTTCACCCCGATGTTTCCTCTTCCTAATTTTCCATCCTCAAAGCCGCCTCCTGTCCCAAGTGTCCTTGCTGTATTTGGAGTTGAGCCCAGTTCTCTGCTGATGTCTGTCTTCCCCTATCACAAGAGTCCTGAATAAAAATCTGTTTTTACATCTGTAACCACAGTCCAGCTCTGGTTTTTCTTTGACAGTGTCCAAGGGCGGGACTTCCTGTCACACCTCAGTTCACTCCTCCTAAGGGGCCCCCCGACTTTCCCAGGAACTCACTTTCCATTTAGGGTCCAGGCAGCCATAGCTGGCAAGAGCTAGCCAGGAGGGAGGATGCTTGTGCTATGCCTGGGGGAGGGGGAATGCCCAGGACCTGCCCTTTGACCATGGGGGTGTCCATGCCTGCTTGCAGCCCCCGTGGTGGGCATCTGGGCTGTAGACCCCTGGCTGCACTAGCAGCTGTCCTGCTTTCTGCCGTGACCTTCCATCCCATAGGCTTGGAGGGCACATCCCAGAGGGCACAGGGCTTTGAGTCCCTGCATGCAGGATTGGGTTCCTTGAAGTAAATCCTCTTCAAACCCTCAGGTGGCCGAGGAGCAGCGATCTGTACTTGGGAGGCTACACCTGGCTGCCAGACTTTGGGCAAGGGGCTTCATGCTCGAAGCCTCAGTTTCCCTGTCCATCACATGGTCAGGGGCAGTGCTGAGGGTGCAGGAGTGTTTGTGAAGGTGGGATGCTAGCTTTCCCAAAAGGGGCTGGGGTCAGGGCTCCCTGAAGGTGGGCAGTGCATGGAGCCACTGTGGTCCCCACTGTGTCTCCCTTCCACTCTGTCCCCACCCTTATGGCTCTGACATCACTCAGGGGCAGGAGTGTGTGCAAAATAAACCCAGAGAGCTAAGTACTAGACGCCATAACGGTGTGATGGATGCAGAAGAATTGGCGTCAGGCCACATCCCATCGGGGCAAAAGAGGCCCTCTGGGGAAGCCCCCTCTGAGTCCTGCAGGGGAGCACCTGGAGCCCAGAGCCAGCCTGGACTTACCCAGGCACACAAGCAGATGAGAGGCCTGGAGGGACCCACAGGCTGGGCCACTACCCTCCTGCCCTGGGACTGGCCCTGTCCACAGGCCTGGGGCAGGCTGGGTCTGATGGCAGCTTGGCCTCCTGGGGAGCCTGGGCAGGGGCTCACCTTCAGTGTTTGGGGACAGGGGTGGCTGCTGTGTATGGCCATGACTGGGCCCCAAGAGTTCTGAGGTTTCCAGGTGACAACTGCACCCATTCTCCTGATGCCCCATATGCTGGCCCTGATGGGAGGTCGTGGCACAGGGGAGAACTGAGGCACAGAGACAGACGGCGCATGAACTGCAGGGACCACAGTGCTGTCCGAGAAGGGGATACTGTGTTGGGCCCCGATTCTGGGTCAGGCTCCAGCATCTCATATTAGAGCTGCTATGAGGGAACGGCCCACACAGGCAGAGAAGGAAACGGGAGGGGTAACTGCTGCTGCTGGCTGGGAGGGCGCTGCTTTGCTTCCCTTCACGGGTCTCCATCTCCTGGCTGGGGCCCAGTGCATTCACATCATATGGGGCTGGCGTCTTTTTGTGGTGGGCACCGGAGCTGGAAAGGCCAGAAAGCGGGAGGGAAGGTGGAGAGTTTGCCCGAGGTCACTCATTTTACAGTCCAGGAAACTGAGGCTCAGGCAGCTTAAGTGACCTCCCTAGTTATGGTCACACTGCCAAGCTAGTGTCTTTTGAAGGTGTCTAGTGTCTCAAGAAGGCGTGGCCACCCCCCTCCTCCCCCCCGCGAGGTCACACCGTTGAGTCCTTCTCCCCTGGATTTGGGAGAGCATCACTGGGCACTGTCTCCTTTGGCGGGTCCCTGCGGCGTACTGGACGCCAACCGGTCTTCTGCCCCAGGCCTGGCCCTATACTCCCCAGGGCCTGAATTTCTGTATGCCCCTGGATCAGTCACCTCCCCTCTCAGTCTGTTTCCTCAGCCAAAGGGTGGGGCGCGAGGCCGAGGGAGGGGCGGTGGACTGAGCCGGGTGCCGCCGGGCTGGATCCCGACTCCGTCACCCAGCGCGGCAGCGCCCGGAAGGGCGGGCCCAAGACGCACGGCGCCCCGGGCAGGAGCGAGCGCGGCCACGAAGGCGCGCGGCCGCCGTAGCTCTGGCAGCGCTGAGGGTGGGACTCGGACGCGGGCAGGGCTCCAGTGATAGGCGGGGCTTAAGGCCGCTGCGACGGCGTTGTAGGCCCAGCAAGGGGAGGGACTCTGGGCCCCTCGCGGCGCCTTAACGGACGCTGGGAGGGGCGGGCGGGCGGTCCGGTGGCGCCCGCCCACGCCCGCAATGGCTGGGTATAGCAGGAAGGGGCGGGGCTCAGGGCCCCTGGACGCGCGGAGGCTGACGCCGGAGGGGAGAGGAACTCGAGTGAGGGGCTGGCCCAGGGCTCCTGGAGGCGCGGAAGCCGTGCCGGAGGAGGCAGGGCCCGAGTGAGGGGCGGGACCCAGTGGGTCCTTGAAGCTTGGAAACCTTCGTCGGAGAGGGCGGGGTTCAGGTGCAGGGCGGGGCTCAGGACTCCTGGAGGCGCGGAAGCCGATTCCGGAGGGGGCGGGGCTCGAGTGAGGGGCAAGGCTCAAGGATCTTCGTAGCGGCCTATCCCAGGACGGCAAGGGGGCGGGATTCGAGTGAGGGGCGGAGTTTAGAGCCCTGGCGGCGCCGTAGTGGGCGCGGCAGGGGCGGGGCCTAGCGGGAAGGGGGCAGGGCTCGCCGAGGGGCGGGGTTTAGAGCCCGCGAGTCCACACCGCCGAAGCCGGGGGACGGGCCTAGCCAAAAGGGGCGGGCGAGGACGGCCCGCGGGCGGCGGTCACTGGAAAGGCTGTACTGGGCGGCTGACCGAGGGGCTGACGCGCGGAGGGGTAGACAGCTGGGGACTGCGGGCAGCGCCGTGTCCGTCGCCATGACAGGTGGGCACGGGGCTGGCTGGGCGGCAGGGATGCGGGCGCCCTGGATGGGTGGCCCGGCCGGAGGGTCCGGCTGTCTTGCGAGTTGCCTGCAGGCCGCGCCTGGGCTGCGGGGGCCGAGTGACCTTGGCCCGTCAGCTGCCGGTGGTGCGCGGGTGCACCCCTGCGAGGTGGTGGGTGTCCCGGGCTTCTGCCCGGCGGGGCCGTGCCAGCCGAGGCGGGGTGGGGCACGATGGGTGGTGGCCAGGTGCGGGGCCTGAAAAGGGCGGGGGCGACAAGACAGCTCCAGGGTGGGGCTGCACAGCCAGGGTCTGGGCTCGGCCACTGCCAGTCTGTGTGTTGGGAGGTGTCCCGTGGTGGGGAATTTGGTATGAAAGAGTAGGAGGTGGTAGAAACGACAACAGAGAGAATTCACAGCGGTCCTGCTATGATTCTGGTCACGGAAACAACGCTCCATCCTTGCAACCACCCCAACGACCTCGCAGCACAGGCGATGCGTTCCTCGGCTGCATGTGGTTTCTGTGGGACTCTTGGAGCCTCCCAGACTCTTTTGGGGGTCCACGACGGTCTTGCCCCTGTTTAGGCCTAAGGGAATCGGGGACAACGACTGGACCCTCCAGTGTTGTTGTGCTCCACACTAGTGGCCCCAGCCCAGCCTTCTTCCCCAGGGCCTCTCTGGGGACCTGCCCACCATCCTCCTGATCCCAAGCAGGGTGACCCTGCTCTGTGGACCTTCCCCTGTTGGAGAAGCCCCATGAGGGTGATGGGCTGGTAAGGGACCCCATGGCAGCCCGGTCAGGGAGTATGGGGGTTCCCAGAAGCTGTACTTCATTCTCACTGTTCTGCTTCATGGAGCAGAATTGGCTCAGGGGCTCAGGTTGGCCCCAGAAGTCCCTAGTCCTCTCAGTGCTCTCACTTGAGTCTCAGCCTAGGTCCTGCACACAAATAGGATCTCATGGGCTGGAAACTGACGACTTCCAGGACACCAGGTCAGAAGAGACTTCCAGCCTAGGCCACAAGAGACCCCCCAGCTGCCACCTGCTCCCCTTTGTCCTTCCTTCTAACCCTTCTTATTTGTGGCTCTCATATGTGAGCACTTACTGTGCATTGGACCCTATGTTGGGTGATTCCTGTCTGAAAATGACCAGATGGGGACCGGGCGCCGTTGCTCATGCCTGTAATCCCAGCATTTTGGGAGGCCCAGGCGGGTGGATCAGAAAGTCAGGAGATCGAGACCGTCCTGGCTAACATGGTGAAACCCCGTCTCTGCTAAAAATACAAAAAATTAGCCGGGCGTGGTAGCGGGCACCTGTAGTCCCAGCTACTGGGAAGGCTGAGGCAGGAGAATTTCTTGAACCCAGGAGGCAGAGCTTGCAGTGAGCCGAGATGGCGCCACTGCACTCACTCCGGCCTGGACAACAGAGCAAGACTCCGTCTCAAAAAAAAAAAAAAAAAAAGAAAGAGAATGATCAGATGGGGACACGTGGAGTATCTTGTCTGTGTACAGATGGGGAAACAAAGTCAAATTGTGCCCTGCCCACGCTGGAATTCCTTAACTCCCTTCGTGAGTTCATCAGAATGCGTGGGACACAACTCAGAGCTATGCTGGTCTCCAGGGAGCCCTGTCCCAGGGACTAGGTGTTGGCAGAGCCTGAGGCCTTGCTGTCCATTGAGGAGCCTTCCTGCACAAAGGGACCCTGTCCCTTGCTCTCTGTCAGGGAAGCTTCCTTGCATAAGGGGACGCTGGAGCTGGGAGATCACATCAGGCAGGGTTCCCTGAAGGCTCTGATTGTAGGCCTCACCTTTTCCAGTGTGTGCTTCCTACCTGCTGGGTCTACTCTCTGGGCCTGGAGACATTCCCTCACAAGCCTTAGTCTTTGGCATGGAGAGCCAAGGCCCTTGGAGCACAGCTCTGGGAGGGTCCTATGAACAGCCCTGCAAGGCTGCAGACCCGTAGTCCCAGGCTCACCACCTCCCTGCACCAACTGGGGTCCTGCCTCGCGCCAGCCCTCGCTGCAAGCAGCGCATGTGAGCCAGTGCCTGCAGAACGCTGAGGAGGTGTCTGCGTGGGGCAGGTGCTTGACAAGTTACCCCCCTGGGCTGTGCCGGCGAGTGAGCAGTTTTAGTTGGGCTGAGCACTGAGACAAGGGGGCTCCTGGAAGAAATACGGGAGGGGGCCGGGCGCGGTGGCTCAAGCCTGTAATCAATCCCAGCACTTTGGGAGGCTGAGGCGGGCGGATCACGAGGTCAGGAGATTGAGACCATCCTGGCTAACACAGTGAAACCCCG